TCCTATTAGTCGCAGCGCAATGTTTTATAGCCCTCCTTGATAAATGGTCTAACCGACACGAAACTAATTTTTCAATTCGAACCAATAGTCCCTTTGATTAGCGCGTTCGAACAAACAAGCTCTTCAGGTTTATATATTAGTATAGATTTCAGGTTTTAAACCGTTAATATTGTATAATTGCTTAATAAGACAAACTTAAATAAAAACACTATTTTATGATTAGAGTAACGAACAAGGTGATGTATCTAAAAGGTTTTCTCTTGAAATAGTTAGTGGGTAGAAAATCAATATCTATTTTAGTTACTAAGCGGTCGGATGCAACTCAAAAGTTTTACGCTAAGAGGTAGGAGACAATATATTAATATCTCTACTTTTAAATAAAACACGTTAACGGTTTAAAACGCGATATATTAGTTAAACTTATTTGGAAATGACTTTTAACTTCGGCCCGACGTTTCGGATGCTTTGCAGCAGCCGTGGTCACGGGGAGTCTCGCCGAAGTTAAAAATCATTTCCAAATATGTTTAACTAATATATCGCGTTTTAAACCGTTAAAGTGTTTTATTTAAATGTGTACTACTCGCGTAAACTATAGACAGTATTTAATATCTCTACTTTCGGATATAGTTTTTAAATACACATGTTTGTCTATACTTCACGGGTTGTTTACCAATCTTTGATAGAAATTCAAGTATCCTTATGATTTTAACATTTTTAGTATATATTTTTTACTATACATAATATTTTAACTCTGTGGTTCGTTCCTTTTCTTTAATAGAGGAGGATAACATGGGATTGAATTACCCCATCCCCCATACCCCATTAACATCTCTATAAAATGCACTGTGGATTTATTTGTAACATTGTGATTTTTTGGACCCTCGGAGGACCGGACTCGTGTTAAGCTGCACATTGCTACCATTGTCAAAAACCTCGTTCTATTAACATAACTGTAATTAATAAATATATTAAAAATCTATTAACGATTAAAAGCACAATTGACACATATTATATTGGTTAATATAATATGTCTCAATTGTGACGTATTGACGAAAATTCTTGTTATTTTATCTCGTTACATTAACACAATTCAATATTATATTGGAAATACTTAGAAGTCTATCACCATGGTTACGAGTCAGGGGAAAAATGCCTTTAATCTCATTCTATTTGTGTGCGAGCCCTAATGCCACGCGTAAAATCTGTATATAATATATTAGCTGTTCCCGCGACTTCGTCCGCGTAGAATAGTTATGTCGGGCATCAAAATTAATTTTGCAAACCTTCTCCTAGCTCCGCCTATTTGCTAGTAGGGAAAAAATATTCTGAAAAGGGACACAGAACGTGTCTGCCACGTGCCCCATGTTAAGCGATTTTACATAAAACAGAGATAAGTGAATTAACATTGTATTACAAGGGAATAGCCTGTTTATCAACCAATTAATATGTAAGTAAATATTAACGGTTGAAAACACAAAATATTAGTGATAAGTTAATTTTCTAATTAATTAGTTAGGGTTAGTTTACTTTTAGATAAATTACTTAATTTTTCAATTTCAACCGTTAAAAAGGTTCTATTAAAATGTATAGGTAATAATCGTTTAAAACTACAGACGATATTCATCTAACTTGTACATGTAAACAAAAGCTATGAAATAAATTACCAAGCTATAATAAAAGCTTAGCTTTTCGGATAAATAAAAATTGTACAACCCTGGCGAGAATCGAATCCACGAACCAAGTTCCGTTTTCTATTATCGGCGAACGTATCCCGCTTGTCAGAATCGAATTTGTTCAATTAATTTACCAAGAGCCTTTTGCGCAATATAATTTTAACGTTATCATGTAATTAAGTTTGAATGTCTTATGAATTTCAGTAAGAAGTCATCTATACTTCTATACTAATATATAAACTTGAACGCGGTAATCTCAGGAAATACTGGTTGAACTGAGAAATAATGTTTGTGTTCTTTAGAGCATTTATAGAGAAAGGCTATAAAACATCACAACGCGACCAATAGTAACGAAGAAACAGTGGCTAATGTGGATGAAGCGAGGAAAATTAATCATCTTCAAAGGTTTCCGTAGCTTGTGAAAACGGTTTAAGATACCAAAAAAAAAATGCACGAAAGACTGATTCCTCTTTTAACGATCTAAAAAACCGCGACAGTACAATATGTATTTTTAAGATTAACTTGCAAGAACTACGATATAGGGACGACGTTGGGGGTAACAGTCTAACTTATAAAGATGAGGAAGTATTTAAAAATAAATTTCGGTGTCTAAAATAACTATTTACGTCGACGAAGTCGCTAGCATAGCTAGTTGAATGTAATATTACAAGTAGTCAAATCAGTCAAGTAAGTTTTCGCATGTTATTTTGAATAAAAAAAGCTGTCATGTGCAAAATAATGATTCAATAATTATTTTGTGAAAGTGAAAATTTGCATATGTTTTGTATTCAGTGTTCGATCGCTTCTAACGCGTAAAGTCTGTCTGTTTTACATAATTGGGGCGAATGGAATTGTTTTCCGTTACAATGTGCGTACATGCTCCTCGAAATTTATAAAATAAACAATTGAATGGGTGTTGTTTCAAATATCGACAAAAAAACATACTTATAGTGTATTTTTTCTAACTTGGCAAAAAACCACAACCAATATGTCCGATTTCAAACCATAGAGTGTTTTTCTTTTATAGAGTGTAGTCATGGCCACAGAGACAATAGGATAATTTTTTAAATTTTTAACCCTGTTGTGTCATCTGTGGTCATGACTTCCATTATATATGAACCAAACGACTCTAATATTCAAAATAATTCTTGTGACTTTTTTATGTCTTTGTCATTTAACTCAACGTTTGTAACTTCTTTTTAGCGATCGTGCATGAGTTCTTCTACTTCTACCTTCAATTGTCGTTGACTTTGCCTCCATCCCATCCTTATGTAAACGTCAAAGTAAAGAAATTTTAATCTGTGCATTTACGTAAATTTATTTTTAAAAAGAGGAAGAATATTAATTTTAGCATGAAATTTTTGTTTTCAATAAGTGAATTTTAGATTAACGGTTAACCGTGTCATGGAGGAATTAATTTATTAAATTAAACATACGGATATACAGTTTAATTATATTATTATTATATAATATCCATTACACGTGTTTGTTATAAATGTGAAAAACATCCAATAATTGCGAAGCACTCAGATATCCGTAGGGAGAAAACAGGTCTCGTCCAATACACCGCCGTTTAGGCTTTCATCTGGCTCTCAAATATTCTGATATTAAAGAGCGTAAAATCGGTAATCAAAGTAAAGGAAACGTATAACATTATATAGAAGAGAGTATTTTATTTAAATGTGTACAACTCGCGTAAACTACAGACAGTATTTAGTTACAATATTATTATTATTATAAAACTTCTAATGTTTGACGAGAGATCTCTCGTTTTTGTAACCACATTGAGTAGTTAAGATATACAGAATTATTAAGTAAGTTTTATAGAATTACAAAAATTATATCTACATGTTGGCTAGATCACATTGCGAGATTAATCTTTTGAACGTGAGTCTGTAGGATTAAACCTTTTCAAACAAGAACGTCAAAAGAGATTTTCTGAAAGCTCACTGCGTAGCGGGAAGCGCAGTTTTCCGGATATCCTGATTTTAAATCCGGGTACTAAGAAATGAGGATAAAAGTGGTCAACGACATAAAAGTACCTTTGTATGTTACAATTAAAATTACCTAAGTACAATTTGTAAGATAGTATCTCTTCTTGCATGCATAAATAATTAAAAATATATATAAGATTAGCATAGCCCCGATGCAATTAACCTAAGAAATAAGTCAATTGTAATATAGGTACTGTTCATAGTGACGTTAGTAAATTTAAGAATATATTTAAATAAAACACTTTAACCGATTAAAACGCGATATATATTAGATAAACTTATTTAGAAATTATTTTAACTACTTATCTTAGGGATTGATTACAGAAATCTAACCTTTCGTGTTTCATTATATTATTGACTTCACACATTCGGGCGCTGTTTGGATGCTAACGAGCTATGATAATAGAGATTCGCCGAGTACTACTTTTGCCGAGTAACGAGTACCGACTTTTACTCGGTTCATTTTTTTTTCACAGCGTACTCGGCTGAGTAACTCGGTTCAATGAAATTCCCATACATTTCAAATATTAATTATTTTTATCACTGTTTTGTATTTTTGTACTCCTCACTCATTAGCATAATTTACATTTTTGATTTGATTTTATTAATTGAGATTTTCAATGACATCCCTAGTTACTAATGAATACTTTTGGATTAACACTGTTGTCTTAATTATATATATTGTTTTTCTTAAACAAAGTATACTCGTTATCAAATAACAAAGAATAACGGAGTTATTAGGCCGAGTACGAGTGTCAAAGTACCAGCCGTGTACAAAGAGTACCGAATATCAATCGAGTACTCGGCCCATCTCTAATAATAACTAAATTCCCGGCAACAGAGTGTATTTTGGTGCTGGCAAACTTAATTTTCAGCTTCGAATATCAAAACATCCCTGGTAATATATTTGCATATCTGCCGAGTGTCGCTAATTCTATGCGACGACCTTTTTACGTCACGTAGATTGAGAATTTGCTGTTTCTAACCGATTTTTATCGTCTCTGTAGCTGAATGGTTAAACGTGCCTACGAATGCGTTAAGCGTGAGAGATCCTAGGTTAGCTATCGTGTCCTACACGTCATCGTCGAATTTGTATATCTATCTATTATTTTTTATAACTATTTACTTACGTACTTAGTTATTTTATTTAAGTAACCAAAAGGGCGTTTTCCTATCTACTCCTATTTAATAACCAGCCTACTCCCTATATATCGATTTCTCTATACACATATATACGCCTAGGTACAATATTTGAACAATTTATCGCACACGTTATCAAAATCCAAATCAGTACCGAACCAATTAAGTTCAAATAGATATCTTATCATTAACGTTATTGCGTACTTACAATGAGACTAACATATCCGTGAATGCGATTATAGGCCTCCACCACATCTCTGAAATCGCCCTCGCAGTAACCACACGTTTCTGGTTTTATAGGATAGCTGAGTTTCGCATCATTCACGACTTTGGCCAGGACAGAACCGATGTTTTCTTTTATGCTGTCTTTTCCGGCCTGTTCCTTGAGAGCTGATAGTATTCTCGATTGATTGATAGCGTCTGAAGAGTTCCCGGAGGCGGCGAGGATCTCGTTAAAAATGTCAACTAGGATCTGTGATTTGTTTGCCATGTTGATGGATGCATCCGCGGCTACCTGGAACAAAATCTGTTGGTTATTAACTTGAAACTATATATCCTATTTTTCCGTATATGGGGCACGCGAGAAATCCTATTTCCCCCTTTGACACAGAGCATTCATTTCACTGATAAATTTTATTTATCTCGCAATTCTATGAGATTCAAAGCCAGGACCATTCAGAGTCATTATGGGACGCAACATAGACATTTTTCAGTTTATAATATAAATATATATAGTTTCTTGAACCGTTTTCCCAACGCACGCAACGGTCGGTGGCTTACATCAAAGGTGAATGATTTCCCCGCTTTTTTTTTGTTTCTTTAGGTGGTAGCGAAGAATCTATATTAGCGTATTATAGTCTAAAGCCTTTCACGATAAATCGTCTATCTAACATAAAATACTTATTCAATTCGGACCATTAACAAACAAACTATTCAGCTGTATACTATTAGTATAGACACAAGAGTCGCTTGGCACCTTTTAAAATACGGAATACTCGACTTTGAATTCATACATGCAAACGAAGTTTCAGGCATACGATTAGTCTATGAAAGTGAACATCGATACATTTTCAGGCAAGTACCTGGTGCGATTTTTTTGTTTTAAAAAATGTTTATCAAAGCGGTACTTCACACATATAGTAATAAAAAAAAAAAACAAACAAATCTATACTAATAATATAAAGCTGAAGAGTTTGTTTGTTTGTTTGAACGCGCTAATCTCAGGAACTACTGGTTCGAATTAAATAAATCTTTTTGTGCTAGTTATAACATTTATCGACGAAGGCTATAGGCTATAAGACATCGCGCTGTGTGTGTAAAAGTAGCGAAGAAGCAGCGGGAAATATATCGGAAACGGGAGAAAGTTTTCATATCTGTAGGGTACCGATGCGTACGCTGCCAAAAAATATAAATGAAAGAATAATTCCTTTTTGAATAATCTAAAAAAAAGTCCGCGTCACTATATGTCTATCTTTGAAAATTAGCTTGAACGACGGGATCCGAAGGATGGGTCGCGGGCGACGCGACGCGTCCGTTGTCGATGGATGCCCAAAATAATTAATCTACGCGGACGGAGTAGCTCGCATAGCTAGTGTATTATAATTGTGACGCATTATTATAATTTTCCTCAATGAATTAACAATTTATAAATTAAATCGCTTTAAAATAATGAGTTTACCATGAAAGACAATTTCAGGATATATTAATATTTAATTTATAAATTAAAATATGAAAGCATATTTATTATTACTTGTGGTTTTGAATATTCATGTCGATGGTCGAATATAATTATTTTTACGCAACATTTATACTCACACTTAATATTTATTTGTCGTTTAAAATGATAACCGAATAGAAAAAAAACATATTTACTTAATACACTGCACGGCTTAAAACGTGATATATATTAGTTAACTTATTAGAAAATTATTTTAACTACGGCCCGACGTTTTCGATGGAACCGATGGCTCTACGCAAGTGTAGCTGTTTTTTCCTTTGTCGTCAGAGACACCCTCCATCTTTAGTCTCCCCGTGACCACGGGTGCTGCAAGCATCCGAACGTCGTGCCATAGTTAAAATAATTTTCACGTAAGTTAGTTAATATATATCGCGTTTTAAACCGAGAAAGTGGTTTATTTAAGGGTGTACTACTCGCGTAAACTACAGACAATAGTAAAAAAAACATAACAAAATAACCTTTATACATTGGCTATATCTATGAACGAAGAAAATTTATTGATTATTATACTTGCTTTTTAAAATTCGAAATATATTAATTAACATATCTTAAATTTAATTTAACCACGCCCCGACGTTCCGGACGCTTTTCAGCCGGGGTCAAGACAGAAAGACTAAGTGAGAGAAAAAAGAAGATATATGTGCTTATTCTTGTACAGTATCTACACACATTTGTAAAAAAAAAATATAACTGCGCTTGGTAAAGCGCGTGGGGGTTTCTGTAATTGTACTTAAAACTTCTTGGTTTATAAAGCAAAGCCAACTGTCACTTATATCAAACTTGTCGGGCGCGAAGCCAAGTCTAAAATCCACTAAAAAATTATTAAAATGCCATAATAATTCTTGTTCTCCTACTTACGGAATGCCAGAAAACTAAGTTGAAATTTATCGAGCTTTAAAGAAAAAACACTTAACGAGATTGACTCTTCCGGAATTGAATTAACGATCTAAGGGAGATTTGTTATGTAATTTTCGACAAAGAATAAAGATCTTAACGGTCTACCAATAATTCAATTTAGCAACTTCAGGAAACATTACCTTGTATAGGTAAGGCAAGGGCTTTATTGTATGTCTAACGCAATATTTAGGTATATTTTTAGATTTAGAAACATGCATCCATATTTTAGTATATGTATAAGATTTTGTATTAATAATTTCACTCCAGAATTCGAGCTTTGTATCGGGCGTTTTTTACAATGTATTGATCAAATATCATTTTTAAAACATTGAGTAATTAGCATGGCTCATAAATAATGGATACAAAAATTTACAATTTTATTAATTTAACTTTTGACTTTAATAACATTGCTTTATAAATTAAAAATCTATTTACAAATGATTTAAAAATTATCATTTTTTTTAAACTCCGCCCGAAAAAAATTGTCTCATTATTGAAATCTGGTAAGTGCATAACAAACTGTTTTTTGTTCTTTACTCTTCCCGAATGATGTTGAATGTGAGACCGAAACATTATTTTGTACCTTCGGGATGCAAACCCAGGACCTCTCGCGCTTAACGCAATGCTAGGCAACAGTTTAACCATTCAGCTACAGAGGCCATACTATCTACAAAGGTATAGAGGCAACAAAATAAAATACGATACACAAACTAAAGCGCCAGTCGAAAGTTGCGAATTCCTCGCAAGCTTTTCATAAAACTTGCTATAGACGAACATAACTTCGTAGCTTTTTATTACCGTGAATCGAGACGTAAAAATCGTGTCTTCCGGGCACTGAGTACTGTAGAACTTTGGTCACAATTGAGAACTTTATAAGCTCACTCATTTTTATTGGGGGCACCTCTAAAAATACTTTGAATGACAAAAATACATTCCTTCCTTCGTTTCATTAGTGCGCTACAAAGACGGACACAGGTCTTCTAGCAAATGAGAACGTTTAGGAGACCCATCACACTCTAGTGAGAGATAAAAGCGATGGTGTCATCCCGTAATTTCATTGTATAACCGGATTTACCAAAAAAAAACATAGCATAGCCTTCTCACCAAGGTTTGACTCAGAGATCGTATTCTGTAATCGCGGGCACTATCCACTAGGCCAACAAGGCGTGACAAATACAAATTTACCTACTTTAAAAAGTATAATGTATGATATTACTTAGAAAATGTATTAAAATGTTTGTGTGACTTATTACGAACAAAAGGATGTTCTTTGACAATTATTTAGAGAAACATAAGACTATCACTAGGACAGGGAGTGGTGCGGGGGGACATGACTAGTAAAGAGGACAACTAGAGACGCTTAGCTTGGTGCAACATACCGTTGAACCGTGAATTGCATATATTAGTTATTAGTAAGAAAAATTGCATTTATATCTTTGTATTGTTTTCTGACATTCTCGGATATTTGAGCATTATTTCGCCATCCCCCTTCGAGATAAGTCGAACTTGCTGTACTGGTCGAGCAGCGGATGGCAATAGTTGTACGACAACTGTCGTGTTTAGCAGCCAAACAAGTTACTATGTAAAATTTTAAAATGAAATGTTCTTCTACCAAAAACATACAAGCCTTGGCCGCAACTGAGCATTGATAATTGAAAAGTAGTTTTTATAGTATTGTATGATATATAAGGCCGCTAGAATCAAAACAGCCTAACTGCAACTGAGGTTGAGGAACGGTTGAGTTATTTCTATTTTCATAATCTAAAAATGTCAATCTACAAGAGCACAGTGACCGAAAATTTTTAACACTATTCTTACACAAATAATAGTACGAATTCATTTTCGCCAAGTTTGCAAATGCATTTATTTTCCACCTTATTGAAAATCAAGTTTTTGTTATTAGGCCACTCTGTCTCTAGCAGCTTCATATATCTGGCAACACTAAAGCATATCCGTTTATTATAAAACTGAGTTACTATATAGCAAGCAACCCGAATGATTGATGACGAATACCATCAATAATGTTTATGGAGCCGTAAAATGTGTGTATAAATTTACAATACGTTTCTTATAAAAGGTATGTTCCATAATCTTAATGGCTGGGTGGGTTACAGTAACGATCGCATACAAGAACATTTACAATAGTGAAGGAAATTTTACTTCACTTACAGAAACTCGGTTTTAAGATATATTTATGACAGAGGAGGATGGATAAGCATCCTTGTTATATAATATACAAGATGTGATGCCGACTTATTTCCGCTTTATATATCCGTAATTGGTTTTATGTAAAGTTAAAGCATTCATAATTCCCTCCCAAACTTTTAGACTTAACAATTAATGAACTATTTGCTTTAACACATTTAATTAGGGGAATAAGTTTAGCTGTGATAATTATAGCTTTATCGAAGTTTAAATTATATAAATAATCTGAATGAATGAATGAATTATTATATAGTATTAAGTAGTAAGTAAAACAAACTGTCTGTAGTATACGCGAGTAGTATAAATTTAATTAAAACACTTTAACGGTTTAAAACACGATATATAATAGTCAAACTTATCTACTACTCCCCGTGTTTAACTACTATATCGCGTTTTAAACCGTTAAAGTGTTTTATTTAAATGTGTACTACTCGCGTAAACTATAGACAGTATTTAAAGACCTCATTGGTGAAACATCGCCTGTCGGAACTTTTTACGGGAAGATTTCGTGCTTCTACGCGAAACGTCGACGTCTGGACTCAAATCCCACGAAATAATATTATATTGATTCGGTTAGGAAACACAGGAGTACAGATTTCTCAAAAAATTAAGGACATTTTAGTTTTCTTCGCACTATTCTTATTTGCTTG